ATGTTGTGTGGCTTTAGTACTTTTGAAATTTTTCTATTGATTTCTGGAATATATGGTAGTGATAAGTATGTATTATTTCTTTGTTCCTCATTATTGTTATATTTAATAATATAACAATACAATAGTTAATATTAGTTGAGTCGCAAATTTTGTTAATCTTCGTTTTATTATTGGTTCAGAAAATTTTTTTTGGGTAGTTATTATTAAGTAATATTTTTGTGATTTTTTTTAAATTTTCTTGTCTGTAATTTGGGTGTGATAATTTTATAGCTCTATCTGTAAGTGCAGTTATTACGCTTTTTAATCTTTTTGGGGTGCATATGAATTATAGTTTAAAGATCTTCCTGACGAAACTTCTTTTGTATACCAATTTGTTTTTATTTCACCTGAATTATCATACTTTACTGTTATGTCTAAAAAATGTACTGATTGATTTGTATCCTTTTCTATTGTACATTTTATAGTGTCGTAAAAATTGTTGAATTTATCTAGGGTATATTGAACTTTATCTTTGGGTAAGCACATAAGGCCAAATAAGAATCCAAAAAATGATTTACCAAACCCTAATAAAGCCATAAGTATGGAACACCGGGTACAATAGTGAAAAATTAAAACTATTTCTGCTTATCTCAATACATGCATATCACTCTCGCAAATGTAGAAAATAATTCAGACAAACTCGAGCTTTTCAAGAAGGCAAAGACCTAAAGGGACGTTAATTTTTACCAATCATGAGGTAATTTTTTCCGATGTTTTGCTCTCCCAGAAGAAAGAAATTTTTTTCCCTCAAAAACTGATGAATGTTTTAACACTTTGTAAATTATAAATTTTATACATGTTTTAATTGTGAATTGGTGTTTGTAGTTAGTGTAAAATTTTAAATCTGATGATGGCGCAGTTGTCTCGCCGAAAGGTAATGAAATAAATGATGTTTCAAAAAGTTTTACTTCACACTTTGACTGAAACCGAGGAAAGATAGGAATATCATAACAAGTACACGCAGTCAGGAAAATAAATCAGGATTAACATTAATTGCTGTTCATTTAGAAAGAAATACTTCTGTATTTTCCCGGTGCCTTTCGCCTTTTTCTCGTGCAAAACCGTCAATAAGGTCTTCTAAAGCATTATGATAATTAAATAATTTAATTGTTTGTAAAATGCCAAAGCAGAAGTTCTCTGTAAAAGACTGGATAAAACAATATGAAGAGTTGAAATCTTAAAATGGAAAATTAGTTTGCGAGTTTGTACAAAGACGTTAAGTTTGCGTTTTTCAGCATGTAACTCTTTAATGTACTCGTATGTTGGTTATTCCAAATTCTAGATACATCACGATAAGCAATATTACGCAACATGTTAAAACAACTTTGCATCAAAAGTACCTAAAAAGGTTTGCAAACAAACCTAAACAACAAACCATTGCATCATTTTTTAGTCAAGTTCTCGCTATAACGAACAACAACAGTTTAATTTCGACTTCTGCAAAGTATTAGTACAATCTGAGATACCGAGCTCACATTTTGGGAGATCGTCCGGGATCAAAGCGACTGAGGAAGGAATAGTCAACCGATATCAAGATAGACGAAGGGAAGACGAAATGATAAACGAAGGGAAGATGAGAAGTGTATTTATACGAAAATATATAACGAAAAGGTCAAAAGGGCGAACAGCATGGGCTGTTGAACTATATTTGTTGGTGGCGATTGCGAAAGAGCTGTCGGTGTTAGAGCTGACTGGTGGATAGCGGACTGCATGTGTTGTTGCTCATTGAGTTGTGACAGACACATCGCATTGCGACCAGGTACTTTAGTTTTAAGCGAAATAAAGGAAAACTGGGGTTTTACCTTTGTTTGCTGTATATCTACAGGGTGTTCCAATAAGAACGGCGGTTTCGAATTGAGCGCCATTTGTAGTGTCATGATTTGAGATTAAAAAAAGGCCGTTCATCAGTAGAAAGCAGGAAAGTAAATGAAATGGAGCGGTTCAATACACAACAACGAATTCTCATTGTGAAAACATATTATCAAAGTGGTGGAAGTTTTACAGCCACAGTTTGCAAAATGCGTACAAATTATGGGCCATCGGAATGCTCCAATTTAAGCCACTATGAGAAAATTAAWAAAGAAATTTCAGTCAACWGGGTCTGTTAATGAAGTGAAAACAGAAACACGCGTTTGTCCTGGTCACTCGACTAAAAATGTTGCAGCAGTACGTCCAAATGTTCAGGAATTCCCAACAACATCACTTGGGCATAGAGCTCAGGAAATCGGTGCTTGCACAATCACTATGCAATCATGGTGATTTTTCAACGGAAATCATCTTAAGTGCCGAGATCCATTTTCATCTTGTTGGCTTCGTTAATCAACCAAATTGTCCCATTCGGGGTTCTGCAAATCCACGAGTGATCGTTCAGAAACAGGTGCATCCAAAATTCACTGTTAGGTGTGCATTGTGAGCTGGAGGCATCATCGGACCATTTTTCTTCGAAGATGCAGTTGGCCAAGCATGAGTTGCAGTTGAGCATGAGATGCAGTTGGCCAAGCTAACCGTGAGTGGTGTCCGTTATGGTGAAATGTTAACTAACTTTTTTGTGCCAAAATYGCAAAATATGGATCCTCAACWGCATGTAGTTTCAATAAGACGGTGCAACATGTCAAACAGCCAGAGAAACTGTTGAATTACTGCACGAGTCAMTTTCTGGTCGTGTTATTTCTCGTTTTGRAGAWCGGCATTGGCCAGCATTTCATACAAATTTTTTCGTTATGAACTGCATATGGCCCGGGACAATCAAACGRCYAAGATTCAAAGAAGATGAGGTCGATAGAAAGAAGATTAACACTTTGCCGCCCGACCATTGGCAACCTTAAAGATATGTTTAAATCCCATAAGCTTGAAACAACAAGCATTAACTAGTGCGCTTTGCCAGTGATGAAAAATGGGGCAGGCCTGAAGTAGGGGACGCCCACTAACAAGACGATAATCCAAAGCGTCAGTCAGGAGTGTGACAGATTACGAAAGGTTTATGTTCAGCAGTGGACACAATTCAAGGGCGGATCCAGGGGGGGTAATAGGGGTCATGACCCCCCTCCATTCAATTCTCTATCCAACGAGGCCAAAACGAATTCTGTGGCTCGAATGGTTCTTGAGAAACTTCAAAAAAAGCAGCGTTATGTTAAAGTGGATTTTGCAACTCAAAAAAAAAACCACGCAAATCTGAAACTTCTTGAATTCAAGCCTTTTTTGAGAAAACTGCCAACATTTCCTTATCGATGGTTTACTTTCTAAAAATTCCATTTACTTCTCTCCAGAATAATGTACAAATGAGCGTTCTTGCTCCTTTTGCCTGCGAGAAATGAGCAAAAATGGGACGGAAAACATGGAAGTTTGGCATAAACTTGCACCTAAGTGTGTGGTATTCAAATTCCGCTTTCTGGGTCAAAACTACTAGAATTTCCTCACTCACGTTGTTGCGACTGAATCGAGTTTTCAATTCTCTATCCAACGATGCCAAAACGCATTCTGTGGCTCAAATGGTTCTTGAGAAACTTCGAAAAAAGCAGCGTCATGTTCAAGTGGATTTTGCAACTAAAAATAAACCACGCAAATATAAAACTTCTTGAATTCAAGCCTTTTTTGAGAAAACTGCCATCCATGGTTCACTTTCTAAAAAGGCCATTTATTTCTGTCTAGAATGATGTACACATTACCGTTCTTGCTCATTTTGCCTTCGAGATATGAGCAAAAACGGGCCGGAAAACATGAATTTTGGCATAATCTTGCACCTAAGTTTCTGATGCTCAAATTTCGCTTTCTGGGTCAAAACTACTCGAATTTCCTCACTCACATTGTTACGAATGAATCAAGTTTTCAATTCTCTATCCAACGATGCCAAAACGAATTCTGTGGCTCGAATGGTTCTTGAGAAACTTCGA